CTTTGTTATTTATTCTATTTTAGCACAACAATGTCAATTAGCATAAATCAATATCAATTAGCATAAATCTTGCTGTAGACTTTTACAGTATACATATCCATTTTCAGAGTATGTGTAATCACCGTTTTGGTCATAATAAAATTCAGCCTTTTGCTTCTCCTTATTTTATCATTTAGCTTATTAATGCTTGACTCTATAATCTTGATGAAGTTTGTAGTTGGGAAATTGGCTATGATTTGCTGAAATGCAGGGGTTTATATTTATATCTTCTGCATGACAGGTTTTCTAATTCCAGTATAAGAAAACATCAATTTGATTTCTTAAAGTTGTATGACTAACCTTTTTTGTTCTTTATTTCTGACGGACATTTAGGTATGTTGCAGTCAAACAGTATTAGGCCAAGGAGATTAGCTGTTCCTCAACGAGTTACATCAAAGGAATCAGATTTAAACCCTCATCCAACATTTGATGCCAAGAAAAGCAACGAAGAGATTTTACTAAGTCACAGATTGATGGGCAGCAAGTCGCAGTCCAAGAAAGTGGTCTCTGTTGCTGTAGATGCTCAAGAGGTCGCAGCAGTCTCCCCGCCTTCTGAATGGGGTTCCACCATAAATACGCACGAAGAGAACTTTAAGCCAAGCAATGTTCATGGAGATCAATCCCAACCCTTTACTGGATCAAGAAGCAACGATGCAGTTGCTTCATTGGTCATCGAACCCGAGCATGTTCAGTTGTCTGAAGTACAAAAGAAGGTCCATTTTGCCTCAGAAAGCTATGCCATTGCTCAAGGTAATGTATCAATCTAATATTATCTAAAAGGGGTGCATCGGTGACCAGTTGCCTGTTTAAGGATCAGGAAGAACGACCGCTATACACTCATATACACATTGCTACACACGATGCAAACTAGGGTTAGTAATAGTTGCAATTTATGGCACATATTGCAAAATGTTTATGCAGGGGCCGATGAACAAATGGCCACTGGAATGGACGACTTATTATCTTATATGGATTCGCTTGCATTGACAGAATCGAACTGGGATGTGAGCAACCAAGTAGATCCTTCATCTGCTGTCAATCAGGATTTGCAGCGTAAGAATTTTCAGTGTATGGAAATGGAAAATAGTTTGAGGTCCGAGGGTGGGATTTCTTTAATGGGTAGAGGAATTATGACTAGGCAGGATCAGCTACACAACCAATTCACTAACTTTTTGCAAAATGACTTGGGTAATGCTATGACACAGTCCATTGTTGGGTCCACTTGCCTTAGGTCAACATTAGTAAACTCAAGTTCAGCTCCTATGATTAGTTCAACAACCTATTGTTCTCAACCTCATCAAATGATCACTTCTAGTTTGAACATGGATCCCTCAGGAGAAGCTGAAGTTAAACGAGATATGGTGCAGCCATCATTTCCTACATCCAACTATGCAAGTGGACTGTCAACTCATCCGTCTACACCGGCTGTCAGCTCAATTGCTGAAGTGCCAATGGAAATCGGTAATTCTTTTGCCCCGTCTAAGGAGCAGCCGAGCAATTTTCAAAAGGAATGTAATGCTTCTAAAGATTGTTCCCCTCAGGAAGATAACAACACAGCCAAAGGGAATGATATAGATATAGTATCTCAGCCTCCATCATCAAAGGTACAACATATGGATTTGAAATTGGAAAATTCTAAGTCAGATAAACAAGAGAAAGGCACAAGTGGCAAACCAACATCAACATCTCGTAAAAAAGGTTATGACCCTGACTTGTTCTTTAAAGTCAATGGAAAGCTCTATCAAAGGCTTGGAAAGATAGGTAGCGGAGGAAGTAGTGAGGTTCACAAAGTAATTTCCTCAGATTGCACTATTTATGCCTTGAAGAAGATCAAACTTAAAGGCCGTGATTATGCCACAGCATATGGCTTTTGTCAGGAAATTGAATATCTAAACCGGCTGAAGGGGACAAACAACATTATTCAGCTCATTGATTATGAGGTATATGCTTTAAGAAGTGCTTAAATTTCCATCATACGTAAGCCTAATAAAAGTAGCATTTCCTATATTATATATTAAAAGTTGTTGTTATCGCTGAGGTGTGTATCAATTCAAAGTAGTTCTTGGAAACCTACCAATTGTCGAAAATTTTATTGGAGTCGTTTCAGTAACAAGAATTGAAAGTGGCAATTGTGAGGATGAAGTGAGAGTCGAGATGCTTGTTGTGGAACATGAAAAAGATTATGTGAAGCTGGATTCTGCTGATGTGTTTAAGAAGGAAGCATTTTCTGAGAGGAATTTTCTTTTTTTTTCCCCCCAAAATGAGCACAACTGCATAAGGTTTTGGTGTGAGATATTTAAACTTTCGATCTGTCTAATTAAACATATATTTAGATGCTAATAGAACATTTTCTTCTTAGGTGACAGATAAGACTTTGCTTCAGGAAGTCATGAATGGATCCATGAGTAATAGAGATGGCAGAGTGAAGGATGATGGCTATATATACATGGTCCTTGAATATGGTGAAATTGATTTGGCTCACATGCTGTCCCAAAAATGGAAGGAACTGGATAGCTCTAATTCAATGATAGATGAGAATTGGCTCCGATTTTACTGGCAGGTTCTTCCATAAATCCTTATTTCAGCGAGTACAGTTTTACTACTATAGCTTTATAAACTTTCTGATGATCATTGCCAAAATCAGGTTTTTGTTCTTTACTTGAAGAGAGTCCCAGAACTTTTTTTATTTGTAGAATGCCGTCACACCATCTTTTTCTTCGTGGCTAATGCCTTCTTTTTTCTGGTTGGTTTATACAGAAGCATTTGATATTTGTTTGCAAAATCCTGCATGTATACTGGCTGCATTTTCTTGACTTTTGACCTTTATTGTGTGTTCTCTAACTGGTCAGATGAAGAGTTATTCAAAGACAAACTTTATGAAGTAAAACTAATCAGCCTTTATATGTCATCTAATCTCTGACTTATAAAATGAATCTAATTTTGTGTTTATGTAGCTTATCTGATATCTACCTCTTCAAATATATTGCAGCAAATACTTTTAGCTGTGAACACCATACACGAGGAACGTATCGTGCATTCAGATTTAAAGCCAGCCAATTTTCTTTTAGTGCGAGGTTCACTCAAGCTAATTGATTTTGGTATTGCCAAGGCTATAATGAGTGACACTACCAACATTCAACGGGATTCACAGGTTGTTCCATATCTACACTCGTCTGGCATATGTATAGGCTGTATTTTTCTCTAGTGCTAAGAATGACATGCCGCTGCAGGTTGGCACACTAAGTTACATGTCTCCTGAAGCATTTATGTGTAACGAGACAGATGGAAATGGAAATACGATAAAATGTGGTCGTCCATCTGATATCTGGTCACTTGGTTGCATCCTTTACCAAATGGTTTATGGAAAAACACCTTTCTCAGAATACAAGACGTTCTGGGCGAAATTCAAAGTCATAACTGATCCAAATCATGAAATTACCTATGAACCAATGTCCAATCCATGGCTTCTGGATCTTATGAAAAAATGTCTAGCTTGGGACCGGAATGAAAGATGGAGAATCCCTCAACTGCTTCAGCATCCATTTCTTGTTCCTCCAGTTCCACCTCAATTACCTGCCCCACCCGATGAAAGCAGTAAATTGCTTCGACTGGTTGCTGAATCCAATATAGGTGATCAGAAGGTTTTGATGCTATGCACTCAACTTGAGAATATGTTATCAAACCCAAGATCGCTAGTTTCATCACAGGAAACGATATCCCGAGACTTGCAACGCAAGTTACTTTATAAAATGTCAACCCTTTGCTTTCAGCTCCAAGAACAATTAGCAAATGTCGAAAGAGATGCAAATATCTGATCTTGTAAGTGAATTTACATTCTAAGTGGTCAATATTTGTTACCTTTTTTGATTTATATAGTTGCTTAAGGGAAGACCTAGGCAATAATGGCATGTTTGGTGAGAAAGAAGTCGAAAGTACTAAGTATTACTAAAGAATGTCGGGGTCAAATTACAAAATAAGCCCGAAATGACCACATCATTCTACTCCCACTTCATGTGGCCACTTTTTCAGGTGTTTGTTTGGCTGAACTGGAATTGATGCTAGTATTTGGCAGTTATGTAACGATTCTTGTATTGTACGCATATGAAAAATTCTTCAGTTTTTTGCAGTAAACTTTAAAATATATTTTTTCTNGCAGTTATGTAACGATTCTTGTATTGTACGCATATGAAAAATTCTTCAGTTTTTTGCAGTAAACTTTAAAATATATTTTTTCTCTCGATTACATTATTTTTACCTTACAACCGTTTTGCTAGTGCCAAATTTGTCATTTTATTTGATGTAACGGTGAGAACTCAATTTATCTCATCCTACTCGATATGGTCGAATGGAGGTGGCTTGATACTCTAAATAACCTTTAAAAGATCAGATGTGTTTTAATTGATTCTGAAAAAGAAAATGAATTTTGGATAACAAGAAAAATGGTTCAATCCATTCACTCTAGATTAAAGACGTCGATAACGAAATAACATCTTATACAACAAAATCATTTAATGTGTCCTAAATAAAATATTCATATACATGGTAAGAAATACAAGGAACAAAGTCTAAACAAACAAATCTGAAGTACATCGCAAACCAATTATGAGTTAAAAATTGTCCAATGTGAACATTTTTACTATAAGATTAGCTCTCCAAAAAGTAAGTCTAATGACCATACAAGGAAGATTAGTAAACCGCAGAGCATATTTGACAACAAAAAGTTCAGTCTTCATTCTGAGATGAACGCTTGTAAGAAACTTCAGCACGAGCTTCGTCCAACTTACTCAACAGTTCCATCATGAAAGGGGTCTTTGTTCCATGAGTGATTCTCAGCACATTGAAAGCCTTGGTAAGTGACTTGACGGCTTCTTCAGTCTCTCCTAGCAACCTATAGAGTCGAAAACATCAGCTCTGCCATTAGGTCCCAATTATAGATTCACTGGATCCGGATTTAAATAGATACTATAAATCTTGTTTATTGTATTGTCCAATCATGTTTAGCAATTAATCCTTAAGATAGATGCAACTATTGAAATCTTGCAGGATTCATTTATCAGAAAAAAGGTACGTAAATTATGAATGATGTAGAGCACAAGTACTTGAAACGTGTCTGTAAGAAAGAGGGAGCAACACAGTAAATTCTAACCATTCAAGTTTTCCGCAAGTATAATATTGCAGTCCGACCAAAGGATGAAATGGAGGATATGCTCCTGAAGGAGAGAGAAAATGTTAGATATCCAAACAGAAAGAAGTTGGCAGTGCGATAAACGATATTTCTCGAGGTTGATATTTTGTTTTTATAAACAATTAATATGCACCCGCACAATATGGATTAGACCTAGACATCTGGTCCTAAAATGCTTAAAGCCACATTACAAGAAGTAGCACCTAGTCCTTGTCCACTTTCCAACTTATATCCATATGAAGTAGCAAAAAACAGGAGCAGGTTAGTGCGTAACACTATCATTTCTGGAATAATCTGTTCCAAGCGTGAGAAAATGCTTCAGATTTGAATTGGGAAGGCCAAACAGACCGTAGACCAGACACAAACCAAGAATAATACTGACAAGAATAGGACTGGAAAATCACAAGAAGGTCACTGCAAGTTCCCTTAGAAGTTCTAGGATAGTATAGACACGTACAAAAAGTTTATTACATTTTTCTCTCAAAAGAACCATAAACATGCATATAATTTTTATTTATTTATTTATTTATTTATTTTTATCCTCGTGAATCTCAATTTGAGTTCCTCCATCCTATGAGCAAATAAGAAATAGACTTTTCAATACAACAGAGGGATAAAGAAAAAAAATAAAAATAAAAAATAGTGTGCAATCTTTTAAGATCTGAAATCAACAAAATTTGATGCAATCTTTACTCAGTAATTCACAACAGGAAGCTTATCTTGTGTATTCACAGGATATTGTTACTTTCTACAACCATATGCAACCTAAATGCCACTCATAAACAATAGGTCATGATAGTAATAGATATTGGTAGATTTCCTCCAAGAAGTTTAAGCTTAAGAACGTACTTATATAAATCGGAATGGTCAATCTGCAATATACAAGTGCTTCCTTCCAATCCTGCAGCTCCATCAATATCTAAAGCGATAAGAGTTTCAAAAAGAAGTTAATTCAATAATATTAGTACGCAAAGCTAGGGAAAATTGCACTAAGACTCGTGCATTGTGGGAAACATTATTATTGTCCAAGATACATATATAGAATATAGGATCATCTTATAGTGATTAAGCCAAGAACAAGATACAGATGCTTTCAGCTTAATATGAACGGCGCAATGCAATGTAATTAAATGCATTCAGCTTAATATGAATGGTGCGATGCAATGTAATTAAATGCTTTAAGCTTAATATGAATTGCGCGATGCAATGTAATTATGCCCTACTAAGAAAGCAACAAGTGTGTGTTATCATTTGTCTAGTTTCTAACCCAGAAAAAGGAAAAGGTTGAAAATGCTGATGAGCCAAAATAGACAAAAGAAGTCAAATAACAAGCCATCCTGCATGACAAAAATCTAAATTAAATTGTCTACAAAAATATTTAGCATTTAGAGAGAGAAGCATGCAACACATTTCAACATTGTTCGGTAGACTTGACAGCTATGTACAGCTAATTATAAAGAGCAAATGCAGCAGAAGAAAAAAGAGCCAATCAGAAATTCACCATCTACCTTCAGAATAGTCTCTCTAGTCCTCATTAAATTGATTGAATATGGATGGCACAGCTCCAACTGGAGCTTCTCAATCATCTTATAAGCAGAATTTGCCTGTGTGTTATCTGAATTTTGTCAAGGTCATCATATCTTTAAACAGAGGGCCATTCATTTGATTACG